ATGGGTCCTGGCGAGGCGAGTCGATATTGCAGGAGCCATCTCGCCCGGCGGCCGCCCGCGCGCCTATATCGACCACGCGGAGCGCCCCAACCGAGCGCCGACCTGACCAGAGGGGCGACGGGCGACGCGGCTGGTCAGAAGTGTCAGACCAGACCAGAGCAGCACAGTTAGCCGGTAATTGTGACGGCAGACAGTGAAAATACGCAGCAACATCGGCGGAGAAAACTTGTGAGTACTTCTCCGTACTGTTTTCACAACTAATGAACCGAAAGGATGTTGTTGGTGGGACTAATGGATGGAGTCACTATGCTTGTTTATTATCTGCTTTTATTTACATAGTTTACTTCATTGCTGATTACATAGTTAATCTAATATCATAGCGACTAGCTGAGGTTGATGGAGATTCGCGGATGCCGCATTAATATCGTTAAATAAATAACGCCGTATAGGCGAGTCGGCGACCCATTTCCCACTCCGCTCAAGTCTAATCGCAGCTAAATTTCTCCACAGAAAGCCTGTCCGACGTGATGCGTAAGTCAACGTGAGAACGTGACGTGTCCACGGTTTGGTGACGTGACGACGTTCACGCCCGTGTGACAGTCCGTGATGCAGCCGCGGGAGATTGTCTGCACGGCGGACAGCCCAACCCCAGTGACCGACTCGCCACATCTGGCCGCCGGCTGCCTGGTGCAGGACGTCACCCTCGCCTCACCCGAGTCCCTCCACGAGATCCGCTTCCGCAACTTCTACGTCCACTCTGTGTCGTTGTGGGTGCAGCGGGTGGCATCCGAGGACATCCCTCCACCAACTTCAGCTGCAGCGCGGGCCACACGTCTCGGTCCGTGGGAGCTATCCATCCGAGACCGAACGCTGATGCCGAACCCTCTGTACGACACCGGCAGTCAGGACTACGTCACCATCAGCCGAAAGCAGAGCGGCGTCGACTGGCGCGGCGTGGTGCGGCTGAGGTTCGTCCTGCGCCAGCCGGTGCCGCACTGGCGTCAGTTTCGTCTGGAGGAGGTGCGGCTGCTGGCGCCTCCGTCATCAACTCCAGGAGGAGGTGACGGAGAGGAGGGGCCGGAGGACGAGTGGAGTAAGTTAGTGGAGGCCACTAGAGCTGCTGTTCACGCCGATAACGGTGTCCAGGTGTTCTCTGGAGCTGACGGACAGATTGCCTACATCGGGGGTAGTTACGACGTGCAAACGCTGCAGCTGCCCGACGGCTAGAGCGGTAGCTTTGCAGCTGCTAAAAATAAGTCTGCAGTAACTGCCCGACGGCCTGAACAGCAACAGTCTCACATCTGTACAGTCAACAGTCAACAGTGGACCCGTTCTATAAATAGTAGCAAAGGCTACAGCTTCCCAATGGTCACAGCAACAGCGGTAGGACATATATGAGCCTCTCAACTTCTGTAAGGCGTTGCAGCTTCCGGGCGGATCGAGAGGAGTGGAAACAGGAGGCCGGCTCCACAGCCGCCGTGGATGTGGCATGTGTTTCGCAGCGGTCGTATGGTTCGTCAGGGCAACGGTGTTGGGGTGGTGGTGAAAGCTCACGGCTGTCTATTGAGACGTTTACCTACTCTATAGTTTGTTTTGTAAGTACTCTGCAACTAAGGCGGCAGCAGCGGAGTAGTTATTACTATTAGGCACAGCTCTGCAGCTATTGCAATCTTCAGATATTTATCGTGTCGATCTCATTATTTGAAATGTTCAATACAGCTTATTTATATCAAATGAACTTATTCTGCAGTTAAGTCAAGCCACTTCTAAATCGACAAACATGTATAACACACATTCCACTATCGCACATGTTGGTTGCGCTGGATTGACAATGCTGGCGCGGAGTAGCGCTCTGCAGCGCTGATTTTCGCAGATACCGGTGGCTTTCAAAGTGCTTGGCAGTTTGTGTGAAAAATGTGGAATAGTTTGGTCGGTTTGTGGTCATTTCCATGGGTTACGGGCCCATAGAGGTTCAAAGTAGCTGGTAAGGTGCCATTGGCCGTGGCTGGCATCGCTCGATAAACTCGCACAGAGTTACGGCAGAGTGATGCAGGCCTTACCTTCACTGCTGCCTAGTGGTCGAAGACAGCACACCATTATAAACAACATTGAATCAAAGTGCGCCAATTGGATGGTACGCTGTTTCTCTCCGGTCGCAGCCTAAGCGGTTCTCGCCATTTATTTATGATTATCCCGCACCGTAGACAGTGTTTACCATTGCTTATCCCGCACCGAAGACAGTGTTTACAATTGCTTCACGAATCACGTGCAAAGAGAGAAAATTATCAGATGCTGTTTAACTGATTTGTTAAACGTTAGTGACGATTAACAATCTGTCTCTGCTTCTCTTTGTCTCTGGCTCTGCTGAAATGTCGTATTTTTCATATAAGATGTATTTTGTACCTTTAAGCGCCCGAAAGATATCGGCGGTACGGGATAAAATTATTAAACCGCTCGTAGTTAGAAAAATCTACGTCTACGAAAAATCTAAAAAACGTCTCGCCTATCGGCTCGACGTTTAAAAGATTTGTTCTACCTACTCGCGGTTTAATATATATTCACGTGCAAAGAGAGAAAATTATCAGATGTCGTTTAACTGATTTGTTAAATGTCTAGTGACGATTAACAAACTGGTAAACGTCTAGAAGACATTTCTGCCATATTACCGTCTCGTTATTTTCACCAGTATGCGGAGGGAAACGCAATGAAACATCATTTTCCTTTTCTTTTTTTTAGTTCTATTTTGTTCTAGTTCTATCTGTCTGTCTGTAAAGGTGTTTTATCATATACCGATGTATGATAATGCAGCGCACTTGATATCCAACGGTGACCCAAAACAGCAACATTTTTTAGTTTGACCTGACCTGGAAGGTCAATGACTGACCTGAGAAGGAACTGGGTATCATTGGATTCGTCTCTTCCCAAAGAATCTTTTTGGGTCTTTACCGCGAAGCTCTATCTCCAACAGGAACGAAATGGCGCGGGAGGGTGGCACCCCCCCATGTGCGTTCTAGGATGGGAAAATGACATGTGCGGGTGAAGGTTAAAACTCTCGCCCGTATAGGGGGGGTCGAACGGAACCCCCCATGGTTTTTCGCGAATAACTCGCGTAAAAAGCGGCCGATCACGACGAAACTTTCAGTACCCTCGCGTTAATCAATTTTACACCTACCCTGAAAATTTCATGACCCTGACCCCAAGTACCTTTGACCTGTGACCTACTTTTCGAGACCATGTTTGACCGGAATCGCGTTTCGGCGTATGTCGGCTCGCATTAGCCGCGCGTTTGCAGTCTTTTCGTGGTTCCAAGCGTTCAAACATGTGATATGATGTTGCCCCCATGCATGAGGGTGGGTGTCAAGGCCACCTGAAGGTCAGGTTAGGTCATTGACCTTTGATGACCTCGGTTCACTTTTTCGTGTTTTACATGTTTCTAGGCTAGTTTTTGGAGCTGAATTCGAATTTAGCAACCATATGAACATTTACGAAGTAGTTTTGGTGCCTTCGTATTTCGTAACATGTTACGAAGCTGTCATAGGCGGTTGACACCTACTAGGAATACCCGGTGGCCGGCAGGACCCCTACTGGTTGACCTGACCTGACCTGACCCGACCTGGACTAAATGCATAAAGACATCATCTGTGATCAAAACTAATATGAAATTCGTGATTAGCACCCCGAAAACCCCTATAGCAGCCACACTTGACGACGTTCTAACAGGTCCCGATTTTGCCGACTTTTGGGTCATTGACCTGACCTGCAAAGTCAGCCAATGACCTAGGACCCTAAAATTAGATATCATCGGTTTCCTCTTGTCACGGGCAACACGCTCGTTTTTTTCCGCGAAGCTTTAGCTCGATCAGGGGCGAAACGGCAAAGGGGGGGGGGGGATCCAACGGACCCCCCCCCCGCTTATAGGTACGTTCGCGGCTGGAAAAACACCAATACGGGCGAGGGTTAAGTTTTTATCGACGGAGCTCACGTGATTAAAAAGAAAATGCTTTAGAAGTAGGTCATTCGTAAGGAAATTCTTACGAAAATAATCGACGTGAATACGGCCCCTGGACCCTCTTAACCCTCGCCCGTATTGGTGTTTTTCCAGCCGCGAACGTATAAGGGGGGGGGGGGTCCGTTGGACCCCCCCTTGCCGTTTCGCCCCTGATCGAGCTAGAGCTTCGCGGTAAAAACGAGCGTGTTGCCCGTGACGAGAGGAAGCCGATGATACCTAATTTTAAGGTCCTAGGTCATTGGTTGACCTTGCAGGTCAGGTCAATGACCCAAAAGTCGGGAAAATCGGGACCTGTTAGAACGTCGTAAAGTGTGGCTGTTATGGTTTTTTTCGGGGCGCTGATCACGAATATCATGTTAGTTTTGATCACAGATAATGTCTTTATGCATTTAGTCCAGGTCGGGTCAGGTCAGGTCAGGTCAGGTCAACCAGTAGGGGTCCTGCCGGGCATTCCTAGTAGGTGTCAACCGCCTCTGACAGCTTCGTAACATGTTACAAAGGCACCAAAACTACTTCGTAAATGTTTATATGGTTGCTAAATTCGAATTTAGCTCCAAAAACTGGCCTAGAAACATGTAAAACTCGAAAAAAGTGAACCGAGGTCACCAAAGGTCAATGACCTGACCTGACCTTCAGGTAACCTTGACACCCACCCTAATGCATGGGGCAACATCATATCACATGTTTGAACGCTTGAAACCACGAAAAGACTGCAAACGCGCGGCTAATGCGAGCCGAGCCGACATACGCCGAATCGCGATTCTGGCCAAACATGGTCTGAGGCCACAGGTCAAAGGTCATTGGGGTCAGGGTCATGAAATTTTCAGGGTAGGTGTAAAATTGATTAACGCGAGGGTACTGAAAGTTTCGTCGCGATCGGCCGCTTTTTACGCGAGTTATTCGCGAAAAACCATGGGAGGTCCGTTCGACCCCCCCCCCCCCCTATACGGGCGAGGGTTAAAAGTTGTGTGCCAAAAATAAATGCAGGAGAAAAGTCCACAAGTTGCCTTCTCCAGTCTCCACTTTGTTCTTCACTGTCATTCACACCAAATCCACCAAATCCACACGATATCGGGTTTAGTGCATTGCAGGGAACTGTGACGCAATATTAAATATCCTATGACGTCATTTTTATCGAAACTTGTTATCGGAAAGTGGATACAATTTATTAAGGCTTAACAACATGGCGGTGTGTGTGAGGAGCAGAGTTATTGGACTGTGTAGGACGCTTAAGATATCATATTGTACGTTTAATGGTCTTAAAAGAACTATTGACAGGAAATGTTGGAAGAACAATGCTTTGTTTTCTACTCACCAGCCTCCAAGATCATTCCATTGGACCGCAGGTAAGGCATTGTTTTGTCACTACTGCGCAGCCATTGTAACAAATGATGAATTGTAGAAGCTGAAGCTCAGTTTATGTTTTATTATTCCATTTCATGCTATATTTCTTTATGACAACTGCTTTTCAAAGCTGTGTCAAATGTCTTTCAGTGTTTTTGGAGAGATATGTGCAGTAAGAGTAATGTAACCTAATTTAAATACTCTCAAGATGATTTCCGAGTTGAAAATAAACAGTTTGTGAAAAGTTGTCTGCACCAGCACTGTGTCACGATGAGTAATTGTAAAGGCTTGTACTGATTACAGACAGAGTTGAGAGTATATTCTCACTTGGTAATTTGTTAACATATCCAACGTTTCTGTTACCAAAACATTATTGCCGTACAAATACAGATTCACCAGGAGACATTTATTGACCAGCCCTTGATTTTCTCTAATGTCTAATGCTTAGTCAAAGTGCATATTTACACGTGTCCACTGATAACCCATTATTCATATCTTCCCTTAGATGAAACCCTGTGATTTCTGTTTTTGAGACTCCCTGCTTGTTGTTATCTGGGCTTATTAGCAAACAACTTGTTTTGGAGTGTGCTCAGTGCTCACCATAGTAGATAGGAAAGAGGCATAGGGAGCGGATGCTCATAGGATGCTCCTAGCCTAATAACCTGTATTTGGCGCTATATGCTAGGCTATTTTTCAATTAGGTTGACAGTCTGAGTTGCCTAAGTTCATATTCCATGTCATGTGAACATAAGGAGACAGGTGTATTTAAATATTTGAAAGATTCTACACATTTTATAGGATGGTTATCGATGGGTATGCCTTCATTGTGAGTGACACAATTACTGAGCTGTTTTCCCTATTTCAGTGAAGCAGCATGGTGACTATGAATGGCAGGATCCCAAATCTGAGGATGAGGTGTAAGTATAAGTATATAAGTGATGGCATTTTGTATTTAACATCAGGTTACATAGTCCTGATTAGAAGTAAGCTTAGGTATTTGATTTCTTTGTCTTCAAAATCAACATGCACAAAATTAGGCAAGGTTATTATTATAGCTATCATATCATCATCTGGATTAGATGAATTGATGTCAGTGTAATTTAGTGATAGAGCATGGTCGCTTGTTTCTTCCTACTTTTGACACTTATCTTTCTCTGCTACTTCAACCCTCTCTGCAAACTTTGTGTACCTACTCTGAGCTGCCATGTATGAATAACAAGTTCGTGATTCTTTTCAGAGTCAATGTCACGTTTATCAACCGAGATGGCAGCCGCGTCCCTGTCCGAGGGAAGATCGGGGACAACCTCATGTACCTGTCGCACAGATACGGCATAGAGCTGGAAGGAGCGTGCGAGGCGAGCCTGGCGTGCTCCACGTGTCACGTGTACGTGCACCCCGACTACACGGATCGGCTGCCGGAGCCGGTCGAGGAGGAGGAGGACATGCTGGATATGGCCGTCTTCCTCAAGGACAACTCCCGACTCGGTCAGTGGACGCTGACGAGACGCATCAGGTTCAGAGGACTGTGCTAAAGAGTTTGATTGCTCGAACCATTCGATGTTAGGTTGTTACACAAACTGTAATCAATGGGAATCGTATGCAAATAGTCGACTAGCCAGTAGCCAGGGTCATGCCGCCGGTACATTTGTATCCTTGTTTCCTTCAACGTAATTTTAGATATGAAAGACGTCTCGTCTTCCATTGTAATAGTTTCACATGATCAATTGTGATTTGTAAGCTATCGCTATAAGCTATCATTTCGAAGATTTTTATCTGCCTTCACCTGACTCTAGCTGGGTTATCTCATCTCATGTCTGACCCCTTACCTTTCTCTGCTCCCCAGGCTGTCAGATCATCCTAACCAAAGACCTGGATGGAGCAGAGTTCACCCTACCGGCAGCCACCCGCAACTTCTACGTGGACGGTCACGTGCCTACTCCTCACTGACTGGCGCTGGAGCTTCAGAGGCAGGTCACCTCCTTGTTCACCCGGTCAGACTGTAGAAACGCAGCTCTTCATGGGAACGCCACCGCCGCCCCGCCGCTGGCCGGTGTTTTTGGGGCCCGGTGGGGCGGTGGTGGTGATATAGTGATCAGGTGGGGTAGGGGTGATGTGTGCTCAACGGGTGGCGGGATCGGGACGGGTGGGATCCGCTGTGGGGGCTGGTGGGGCGGGGGTGTCTGATAGAGGCTGAGTTGGGATATCTGCTGCACGGCCTTGTCAGCTGATTCTGGTTGGTTGCTGCGTTGTGTTTCGTGAAAGTGTGTTACAGCTTGGCATAACCAAATGGTGAACTTTTTCGATCCACTTTTCGCAGCTTAAGGGTACTGATTTGTGGATACCTTCAAGCCCCTCCTCCCCTGCTTTAACATTGTTTGGCCTGACCATTTTCTAATATGTAATGGGCGCCGATGACCACCTCAGTCCGGGCGCCCTAAATCCCCATATCATCATCTTCAAAGGGAGCTAATATCGTCATTCTTTGTGTTTCGGAGATAACCAGCGCATCTTTATCTGAACTTTGTATTATTCATTATTGACTAAATAGTTATTTCACCATACTTTAAACCATGCTCGCCTTACCCGTAAAGTTGGTGCGCTATTTCAACGCCCGCGCCAGCTTGGTCTTCATTGCTAGACTGTTGAATGTGTACTGCCACGAGTGAATCATTTATCGACAGCAGAGCCTGAGTGGTGATAGCGTTGTTCCATTGGCCAGTCCCTGACCTGGTGTATGCGAACAGTTGGTTATAGAGCAGCGTTGTTAGCTGTCCCCAATGTATCGTGATGACGCGTTGAAATGAGATCTGGGTACTTAGATCGTCATGTGAAATGTGAGTGATGTTGAATAGCGCTGACCAGTGTAGTATTATGAAGGCTGGAACACGGAATGTTCCTGATGCCATTTAACTGGCTTTCAATTTTCTACTGAGCTGTTGAACGCTTACAGGCGTTTGTTGTGACGTAATGAAGATATATCCATGAAACAAATTAATGTCGTTTGAGCTGGCGCTGGCGTGCAGACCAAAAGGGACAACGAATCCACTAGGGCTTTTGTTACTGACCATCAGCATCAGAACAAAGTTATGTATTTTGATGTTGGCTCAGTTTAAAGGGAGGGGCTGGCGTAGTCCGGACTGAAGCGACACCTTGCGACCACTGAATAGTTATCGAACTCGAACAGACAAGTGTGGCGTCGGGCAAGGTGGGCGGAATGGAAAGTGATGGTGTTTACTTCCGACCCGTTTACTGATTTTACATGACCGTCACAAACGTCATCTCCATTTATTTACCACGATTCTCGCGCGCGCGATAATGTTGAACTCGCCGAGAGCTCTCGTTCGTGTAACGCAGCTGGGCCGTAGGCGTCACGGACATTGAAAAAAGACACCGCGTCGAAATAACACACACGAATACAGCCTACTTGTGCCAGCTGACAATGGTATAAAATTTCGTCAAAACGTAAGGTTCTTCATATGAGCGCTCTTATACCTATGGCATACAATATTCTCGCACATTTGTAGTTTGTGGAGCTTCGCTCCCGATGAACGTCGTCTCAGCGTCGGTCGGCGGCGTTACGGCGCCCGCTCCGCTCCGCCGCCGCGCTCCAAAACACTGCCACCCCGGCCGGAATGTACCCTCTCCGCAGAAAACGATCACATACCGCCGCCGCACTGAATGGTCAGAACTGCACTCCGCCGGCACTGGCGGCGCCGCCGCGGCCGGTGGCGCCACCTACACCGGCGACGGTGGCGCCGCCTGTGGGCGGCCGGCCGGCGTCTACCGGCCGTTGGGCAGGATCTGCCGGCCGGCGCCGTAGGCGGTCATGCCGGACTGGTTGGCGCCCTGGTTGCTGCCGTACTGCAGGCCAATCACCTGCTCGCCCTTCCTCAATACATCTTCGCTGAAGTGCCTCTTGTTCTCGTCCGCCACCTTGACGCCCAGCGCCGGGCCGTTGAAGCCCTTCTTTTGCGCCTGGAACGGGAATGATACGCAATTAGTGGTGCCAGACAAATTATTACCAGCCATGATTTGCACAGAGCAGGTAGACGGTGCAGCTGAGAGGCTGCGGCTCATATTACATGCAAAAGTCATTGGTCATGTGCACGGAAAAAGCATTAATGCATGCTCTAAACCGTTACGGAAAATTAAAATTTGATCGCGAAAGCTTCAAATGTGTGGGGAGGTGATGGTGATGGAATGCAAATTGAGAAACGTTATCATTCCCTCACATGGTGCTTAATATTCACATTACACCATTTAAAGGTGACGGAATCGTGTTCATCAGTGAAAAATGCAGTGTAAGTCGCCACACAGCTTCACAGTTCACACTAACTGAGCAAGTGAGCAGTGCATGCCCACTATTTCGAATAACTTTTTACCATGAAGTATAAGCACAATGAAAACACGTGACGTATCTGGACCACGGACGGAGTAGCGGTTCCCAAAGTCGGCCGTCTCACGCCCACATTACCGTCCAGGTGTAACACATGTAACGGCCTGGTGAGCGACCTCTGACCTCTGTAGCGTCCGGGGTGTTCCTAAGCTAATGGCCATCAGCCCAGACACCGGCCGTCAGAAACCGTATTATTATGCAGTCAGGCCGGTGTTCTAGCGCCTGGGGCAAGCTGAGGCGAGTCTATGGCGACCACAACAGCGAATTAAAGTTTAAACCTGTGAGTCGGTGTATGTGATAGTTCTGTTGTTCGCTCTTTTATGTCCCAGCCTACGGGGTTCCTAGCATATCCCAAGGCCGTCTCAAGGATGCCAGGCATGGACTCCCTCTGGGTACTATTTGACCAGCCACCACTGGCCTCAGACAGCTCATTTGACCTGTATTCATTCGTGATCAGTGTTCTGAGAGCTGAATTATATCTGTAGCGTGTGCGGCGAGAGGCGCCACGGAAAGCCTGGGCGGGAGGGGGAGAACGAGACGAGACGAGGTGGCACGCAGTCTAGTGTGAGGGCGTGTCTCGGCATAGATGGGACGAGGAAATGGTGTGCTGGTGCGTGCGTCGACGTTATTTCGGCATCTTCCGTTCAGTTGCGGGGGGGAGGGGTCTGGGTCTTGGTGGACCAGCGACATAATTGTCTGATATGTGGATTTATGGTATTTGTCTTACACACTGAAGCCATTTTATGGTCGGGCTGTAATGTATGGCACACATCCGTTTTTGCTTATCTATTGATAGGAATGCGAGGTTATACCAGCGCTCTCTGGCCAAGAAAGGTGTTTGTCTGTTAACTTACCACTCCTCCGAGGGCGTACAGGCAGTCAACCACCTGAAACCAGAGAGAACAAACCGTCACGAAAGGCACTTACTGACCAACGATTCATCGGTTTATCATAGCTATACAGTAAGAACCAGGGCGATGATATGTAGGTGCAAGCACACACCCAAAACAGGCAACATTAGTACACTCAGTGCAATGTTAAATAGTTCAAAACAATGATTATACAATCATTACAACTTAGAGTTGTCATTGATCGCCACAAGCTTTGAAACGGTGTAGGTACGGTAACTGATACCGCAGCCAGCAGAAGTGAGTCACCGCAGGAGAGCCAAACATGCAGGTCAACACTTAGCACCACTGTTTCCATCGCTATATAACCGTGTTCACTTATTATTGCCTATACATTCATTATCACTTTGGTCACTAGCGCTGTCACTATTGCTATCACTACATGTGCCGTCACAATCGTCACTAACGCTGCTAACTGTCGTTGCTAAGGCCGAGCTGTCGCAGCCGCAGAGCGTTACTAAGCAGCAGCTACGCTCGTGTTACCACGCAGCGCAGTGGTAGCACGAGCCGCTTTCGGTGGTCAGAGGGCCTTGGGTTGGGTTGTCTTTGGTTGGCGAGGTAGGACAAGGGCATCGAAAGCCAGGCTGTGCAAGGCGACAGTTTGGGGAGACTTTTGGTCAGAAAGTCAGACATTGTTATTATTACTGACAGACTAAAACGGGCTTCTCATCGCACTTCTTTACCCTTTTTACCGAGACAACAATTTTTACCAATTGTGATGCATTGCATTAACGACTAACGACTCGTTTGATCTAAAATACTGCGTTTCCAAGGGCAGAACTGAACAATACTAGCGGCAGACGTTTTGCTATTCACATAACGACCGCCATTCCGTCTCCCATGGCCGGGGTCGGGTGCATGACGGTCATTCAGCGCAGTAATTGCATTCGCGGACTGTGACTGCGGCGATGTGCCGTCCGATTACAGCCATCAGTGACCCTCTCTGGGTATCAGCCGCCGTGTCCCGGTCCGCCGAGGGGTGCGAGTCGCTGACATCACCTCATTAGGACCCAGCTCGGGCCGTGCAGCGTGTGTCTGATGGTATGTCGTCAGGCTGGCCGGGGCCCTAAACGGGCAGTCGGTAGCCGCAGGAGTGTAGGAGCGCAGTACAGAGCTCTGACCTCCAATGTTTCGATGCTGTTGTAGAGTTTAGACTGATTACAGGCGTCCAATAACTCCACATAAATCGCATATGGTTTATTGGCCACCGACTGCCTCATTTACACAATGAGGTGTTACTTCCTACTATCTTGCCGCATCATGATATGCCGCACCGTACCGTGACGTACCGCACCGTCCTGTTCCATCTCGAACTGAGCTGCGCCACCCGTTCCCTATACCCTGTGCAATGGCACAGACATGAAACAGACCCAGACCGGCGGGCCCGCCGTGTGTGACGCCGTGTCCCCTCGGTCCGCTCTGTTGACCATGCGACACCGTCCCGGCCCGGGCCTGGGTGTTCCCTGTCGCCATACGGGTCGTGTTCTTTATGCAGTACTGGTTGGCACTACATGTGGAACCGGTAAAGAGCTTGGAACGTGCGGTAGACACTAGGCATAAGAAAATGTTCAGACAAGTGAGCTGTGCTGATTTATAGGCTTGTGTTGACTGTAGCCTGTCAGTAGCAACAATCTAAGACCCGACAATAAGCCTGAGCCAACACAATCAACTGTTTCGTGTCAACTCAATCAGTTCAATCCGTATAATGACTCGAATCTTCAGCTCGCACTGACCATTACCCGGCTCTTGGGAAACCAACCAACACTTGCGTGTCATCAGTTATCGTCCAAACATGTCATCTCTCCAATTACACCCCGGGCTCATCATCAGGGCCGCCCTCATTGGGAGGTGAAAAATCGAAAGTAGCCGGATCGAATTAGCCACCATGACCACGCGGGCCGGTCCGCCTGCGAGCCCCGTAGCCTATCGATGGAGCGTGTCGGGTCAGGGCACGCGCTCACGCGTTCCGGTACCGCATGGAAGCGAGTGCTTTTAGGCAGCACGCGAGCAACCCTGTTACACGGAGCTGAAAAGCGGAGACATACCTGGGAAACAGACCTGGGAAGTCCATGTTCTGACATGGAGTCGGGGTAGGTCGGCACGGGTTCCGGACAGACGAGGAAGCGTGGATACTGGATAGGATGAGGACCCGGGACGTTGTCTGGTCTCGGTCTGTGTGAGACTGCAGATCCATCATTGATACCAGATGTTCCATTACATACATTCGAATAAACGTGTCGGGTCCCGGGTTCACGCAGACTGTGAACACCTGTGAACGTCTGACTACCGCACTAACTAGTTAGTTAACACATTGAACTCACCATGTAGAGGTTCTTGTTCTCGTAAAGGTCGTTCACCTGGAACAGGTCCTGGGGCTTCAGGCCGTAGCTTTCACAGCCCTTCAGGAACATCTCGATGTTCTCGCGCTGAAAACAGAACAAAACAGACGTGTGTCAACACTTCGAGCTGTAGCACACTTGTTAACGTCGGAAAACCCCTTTTCGAATGTGGAATTCACGGAAAACAAGGCTTGAACAGAAAGCATTGCAGAGTTAAGACATTTACAAAAGAAAACTTATTTATCAGATAATAAAAAAATGAAACAGAAACTTTAAATAGACACCAGAAAATAAGTTAACTTTTGTCATCTAAGCTCTGGCATCGACGTTGGCTGATCAATCACCTCA